CTTCACAACAGTAACCCAAGAAATTGACCAAATTCTGATGAGACAACTGTCCAAGAGACCTCACTACTGCCTGCAACTCATAGTTTTTGTACCCATCAGATAAGTACACAAGACTAACAAGGAATAAGAGATAGGTATCAATATTGCGTAAAAATGAACAGACTTTGCTTACCATCCAGTCTTGTAAAGAGCGTGAACTATCACATTCCATGACAGAAACAGCGATTCCGGTTCCAGCTCTTGATGGTGCAAATGTGGTTTCATCTATGTAGCCCTTGTAGAATTTTCGAACAGAGTAATCCTCGCATTCTACGACCCTGTCTTGTCTGAATTTCTTTGTCGCTTTCTTCAATCCGCGAATCTGAAGACTCTCAGATTCTCGTTTTCTGGCTCCACTTTTCATATATACGTATAAATCGAACAATGTATTTAGACATTATTCGTAAACAAAAAGTATAGTGCTTTCAAAAACAGAGATATACCTGAAAATATTGGAGGGATAATGAGAGGCTTGGGAGCAATTGAAGGAAGTTGTTGTTTGAAATGCTTTAGACAGTTTCCCATTGAAGGAAAGAAGAAGATGATTAGAAAGATATGTAGATTTCTGGCTTCAAGATTTTAACAAATCTTTATAGGGTTTTAATAAGAGTTTGTAACTTATTAAAGAAGCTACTAAAAAATAGGTTTAGACTGGCCTCAGAATTCAACCCTTTGAAATTTTCAATTTCTCATTCAGGCAAAACAAAGCAAAAGACATAGAAGGCAAGTTTGGGTATGTCTGTATCCATATAAGGCAAGTTTGTGGAAATTTTTCTAGGACTCATTTATAGAATGAAAGAAAAGAGTTGATGCGACATAGAAGGAGATTTTATCTTCTTTGTTTCAAACTTTTATTCCAAACTTGTTCAGCTTCAAATCTCATTAACTCTTACACATTAATCTTTAATCTCTGCAATATCATTCAAACCATCAAAGACTTGTTGCATCGATGGTCGTTTCCTTGTGTCCAACTTGATGCATCTTTTGATGAGTTTTCCCATTTGTGTCGCTGCATTCACAGGATAATCGTTCCCAAGTCGAGGATCGATGATTTCCCGGATTTTAGATTGATCAGACAAGAAAGGTTTAGTCCATACATGTAAGCTTGGCATGTTCTCATTCTTTTTACCATCTGAAGCTTTCAAACCAGTTAAAATCTCTAACAATATCACACCAAATGTATACACATCACTCTTCGTTCCCAAATGACCTAAGAACATTACACAACTGTCTTAAACATCGAACCACGACAGATTAATTAGAGTGTTCGTTAACAAAACTTAAGATTTTGGTGTACCTGAGATTACATATTCAGGAGGTATATATACAGTTCTTCCTATGAATGCAGTCGTCACGCTTTCTTCTAACAAACATAGTTTCTTTGATCCAAGATAGAACAATTTTGTGTTGTAGTGCTGATGAAATTTATAAGTTCAGGCATTATTGTAAGGTTATAAACAATAAGAACAGCAAGAAGAGTGTTCTAAAGTCATTTACCTCGTCAAGCAAAATGTTATACATTCTGAGTTCTCGATATAGCGCGCTGTTCTTGACCCAATGTAGAAATGCAATACTTTGAGCTGCTCCTATGGCTATCTTGACCCGTGTTTCCCACGGTAATGCTTCTTCTTCTTCTGTTGAGAAAACATGAAACTGTAAGGCAATATTGAGTATACTGATTTTATAAATGGACCCATTGATTAGAAGAGATCTTAACTTCCGAAAATGTAACGGTTCAAACTTCCTTTATGCAAGTATTCGAAAACTAAGAATGATTTGTTTTCTTCACAACAATAGCCTAAAAGTTTGACTAAATTGGGATGAGAAATACGTCCAAGAGACTTCACTTCTTCCTGCAACTCAATAGTTTTTGTACCCATCAGATGCATAAGTAACTAAACAAAACATACATAAATAAGATCAAAGAGATATAAATAGTAGTTGCGTAAGATTTTGGTTACCTTCCAGTCTTGTAGAGTCTGCGAATTATCTTGATAACATTCCATGACAGAAACAGTGATTCCAGATCTTGATGGAGCAAAGGTTGTCTCATTGATGCAGCCTTCATAGAATGTTCGAGTAAACCCATTATCATTACCTTTTATGACCATGTATTTTCTGAATCTCTTTGTTGCCTTGTTCAATTCGGCAAATCTAAACTCTTTCAAATTCTCCTTTACTGGCTCCACTTTTTACATTTATAAGACGTATTAAGATATTATTATATATGTAAACAAAAGTAGAAAGTGCATTTGAAAACGGAGATGTACCTGAACTTGAAGGGATGGTGAGAGGCTTGGGAGAAGCTGAAGGAGGTTGTTCTTTGAGAGGCTTTAGACAGTTTCCCATTGTTGATCATAAAGATGATAAATCTGTAGATTTTGATTTTTATATTTTAATAGATCTTGTAGGTTTTTTTATGAGGTTGAAAATGATTTAAGTGTGAAAGAAGCTTCAAAAAAGGTTGGGCTGTCTCAGAATTCAACACTTTAAAAAGTCAAGTTCACATTCAAAAGCCAAAAGAATCCACAGTATTTACTATTTACTATGCCAATGTCTATATAAATGCTTATAAGGCAAAATTTAGAAACATTCTAGAATAAACAGGGCTTGAAAAATTAGATTCTTGTTCTCTGTTTGGAACAGAAGAGATGCAATGTATATAAGAAAGTAAACATAATTAGATTAGAATCATGCAGACTAAACAGCCTGAAATCAGAAAATAGAACAACAAGTAGTGTCTCAGACAACAGCGAAAGAGATGGCTCATAAGTCAAAAGCCAGGTTGGTTCAAGTAGTAAGGACCAGGTTGGTTCACGTAGTAAGGGCCATGGGGTGTCCAATAACCATAAGGTGTGTAGGTATGATATTGGGGTGGTGGAAACTGGTCCCAGTTGGGTACATAGGTAGTACTTGTTGTTGTTGGGCGTTTTGGTTATTGTTAACCCTACCACCAATATAAGCAAGATTGCACTTGGCCTCTCGTCCGTCTATGACCGGTTTTGGATTCTGGCAAGCTCTCGTTGCAGATTCAGCATCTCTAAACGTGACAAAACCATAACCCTCTGATCGTCCCGTTTCTCTATCGCAAACCATATTAACATGTATAATATCTCCAAATTGTTCGAAGTAACTTCTCAAACCTTCGTTTCTTGTTTCCCAAGGCAGACCTCCCACGTATATCTTAGTGTATCTAGTGTCAACGTTTTCGTTCGCGTAATGTTGAGCCACGTCTCTGTCACAAGTATCAAAAAAAATTAGTGACAAGAAAGTTCCAACAATTAGAAATACATTTAGAAAATCCAACAATCGGAGAAAAGTACTAGATATGAAAATCTTCATTATGCATACATACTTTGTCCAATAAAAAATAGGAATTAGATACTAGAAAATTGGAAATTAAATAGAGAATTTAGGGGATGTATTGAAAGTGGAATTTTAAGAGATTTGTGTAGAATTTATAAATCCTATATTATAATGATTTTAAAAAGTTTCATGAAATTCAGTGTTATTGAACTAATGATTTCAAAATCCATAATTTGTGGATTTGAATTTTAATGATTTTGGAAGATTTGAGAGGATTTCCTTAGTTAAAAATACAGAAATCTAAATCTCATAGTTTAAGGTGAAATTTGAATGGATTTTACAAAAATATATGAACTTCTCTAAAATCATCAAAATCATTAAAAAAAACTCAAGAAAACACAAATCAGAGACATAAAGATAATAAGTAAGAGAGGATTCCACGTATTAGAAAGAGATGAAGATAATAAGTAAGAGAGAATAGATATGTTTTTAATGCACGAGAAACAATTTCATTACCATATATCTGCAGAGTGCGTATATGTGAAGTGAGAAACAAAATCACAATAAATATATATGCTCAGTCGCTCAGGAACAGAGAGACAAAAAGAAACAACCGAAGAACAAAGAGGAAAATTTACCCTTATCTCTAATATATCATGTGTCAGGGTTTAGGGAAATTATAGAAAAGAGTTAAGCTCACTTTTCCTTTTATAGGTTAGTTGATGAAAAATTTGATGGACCCAAAATGAAATCCAAGCCCAAGCCCATACCCAAAGTCTTTTTATTTCACTCAAACTGCTATAAAACGAGTCTCTTTTGTATCTATCAATTTCAATTTCTCCGCACACAATCAATTTTTCACATTAGCTATAAAAAGCATTAAATCAGATGATTTAAGAAGTCATCTCTAATTACTCCTTAAGCTTACATCATTTAAACACAAACACGAAAATTATAATTTACATATTATAATGGCCTATTAATTATAGTAATTTTGAAATTTATGAGATCAAAGTGGAGAAGTGTATCTAGAAAAGGATAGGCATGGAGGGAAAGAGAGTGAAGGCATTCCCATGTGAGTCACATTCACACGAGGGTCCTAAAAATATTGATGAGCTTATCTTCCTTGTCTTCTATTAATGCTTTTTAAGTTCCCAGCTAATATTGTTAGTAGTTTGATAGTGATATACCACATGTAATTATATATATTTTTTTGAAATATATGAGAGATTGAGAGTTCTTGAAGATACTTCATGAGATGATGCAATGGATAATTAATCAAGATCCTAATTTATTTTCTTAGGTAACATGCTTTTGTAGTTAAATTCTTAACAACAATAGCTTACCATCACAATTTTAATCAATCAACCCTTTAGTTTTTACTTTAAGTGAAAATTCCAACCCTTTTGACTATATCAACTTGTCTATGAGTTAATTCGTCTATATATATGATGAGAACTTAGCCAATATGACTGAATAACCTCATTCTTCTTTTCTTTTTGGTTTCTTGGAAAACTAGTAGCTCATTAATAAAAGAGCAACCAAAAAAAATGGAGGATCATTAATTTGTCATATGATTAGTTTTCTGAACTTTCTTTCAGTCTTGGATTTTGTTAAGAAGACTGTATCGGCTCCTTGTGTGTTGGCACGTGGTTCAAAAAAATTGGACATGATGACGAACCTGATTTTGGATGTTCATGGGAAGGCCACATGACACGAGAGCCGTTTAAGCCGCCGTTAAATATGGATGGAAGACAGGTTTTCCTCCGTCAGTGCCTGAGAAGTTGACGTCAATTGACAGAGTCAAGTGGGACGTTAGCCGCAACCGGAAATAAGCAGAAGACTCTCCACACTCACATGCCCACACTCTTAACCTTCTTAATGGATTAATGCACACTTGCATCTTCTTATCATATAGTATACGATAAATGATATTTATCTATAAGAATTTGTCATTGAATGATATAATATATGATCCATAAATTGTGTCTGCTTTGTTATAAGTGGTGTAAGTCGGGTCATGGGCCCGTGAGATAGTAAAAGAAGTGTTGCATGTAAGAGAAGGGTGATGAGAGACAGTGGCACGACGGTAGCTTAAGCGCTCTGTTTCTCTAATTTCTGCCGTCTCCTTTTCAAAAAGACCCCACCCACGTTCCTCTTCTTCTCTCATTTACCCTTCTTGTCTCTATACTCACTGTTCATGAGATTATTTTATATGCATTAAGAAATATTGGGCAAATATAGTTTATATTTTTTGTGTTTTTGACCAAGAGTAACAGAGTATTATGGTCACCTGTAAAGAATAAACTTTTTCTAAAGTAGACGAAAATGTATAATACTATTTTGGCGATCATAGTAATTGAGTAGGTTTTCCAAAATTTTGTATGTTCTGTATTAACTCACAAAATTACCTAAGTTCGGCTTCGTTGCGAGAAGCCGTGAATAATGAAAAGAAGTATATTTGACTTTTGAAAAAAAAATAGTTACCACAATTATAATCTAATAAAATTGAAAGCCCTCTAAGATTCAATTATTCCACGATTCTAAATCAAAACAAGGCTAAATTTTTAAATAACGATATACAGGATCTATTTTAAGCATATATTAGGGAGATGCCGACAAAGAAAAAAAACATATAGCGGAACTGTAGAGTATATTATATCAAGCCGACAAAGAAAAACATGTATTATTTTAGTTATACTGTTTTGAGTTTAACTCAAGCTAAAAGACGAAAGAGCTAATTGGCAAAGCCTTTCAGAAAATATAAGAACAAAAGCAATGCTAAGGCCACGTCCAGATTTTAGCCGAACAATGGTAAAAAAACACAAAGCCTGAACAAAGACAATAACTATCAAATGTTGTCAAATAAAATAAATCGAATAAATTACACGCAAATCTAAAAAAGTGAGATCCAACAGCTTCGTATAACTTTAGTGACAAAGAAAGCTCACACGATCCTCCCCGTAGCAACTCCACCGCATACATTATGTATCTCGACCAAATGACTAAATCAACAAACTACCCTTTTCACTCATTGCAATTCTACTAAGAAAATATTCTCAAGACTAGTTCCAAGTAATGATTTACGATTAATACTAGAATAATTAGCAGATCAAATAGTATTGTGTAGGTATAAAGACAGATAATGAGATATGAGATCAAATGTCTCCATGAGTTGGCATTTGTGTTGATACATTGACCATGCATGTGGATATATGATCAACACAAACTTTTGTTAATGCTCTTTTAATTAACACATATAACATGCAAAAGTTGTCTAATGTTTTATTTTGTCTACGATCATGCAAAAGAAATACTAGCAGTATAAGTTTCAAAAATAAAAGGAGATTCGGCGTTAACATTAACAAGCACTAAATGCAAATGTATGCATAGTAACAACTAACAACGTCGAAATTTGTCATTAATATATATGTTAACTATTAAAGCCATATTTATAAACATAATTTGGTATGTCCAAAAGGTGTTTTGTACTACTGGCCTTATAATTTGTTTTTGGTTTAAGGATGATAATAATCAGACGGCAGACAAAATCATTGAGAAAAGAAAGGAGTTTCCAGGAATAACCCTCTCTGATCGATCTTCTGAAATCTTAGCTAAACCCCAAAAGAGTGAGTCACGGCCCCACGTGGATACGTGAATCACATCAGTGGCATAAATCCGTAAATTGTAGTAAAATCTAGAGGTATTTTCCAAGTTAGACTTCCATATAAGCTATTGCTGGCTCCTCTCCCAATTTCCCATAATTTACTAAATATCACTTTCTAGTCTCTTCTCTTTACTTTGGTCGTCCACAATGAAAGGAGGCAGCCTCTCGTTTCTCTTCGTTCTCCTAATCGCCACCATCACTTCCGTCATTTGCTTCAGTGACGGTAATCATCATCACATACATAGACGTACTTAATCATGTTTAAGCGTATATATATGATTTTGCATTTTCAGTGACATTTTTCTTTAAAACCTAAATTCTGTTTTAGCGAATCGAAGCTTAATTCTGTTGAGTTTCTATCCAAAGTCCCTGACGAGACATTTTGACAAAAAAGTTTGGTTGTGACTTGTAAGTAGTCTAGTGGTCTTAGAGTAATGTTTTGCACCCTAGTTTGAACCTTATTTGTAAAAGATGTACGAAGCTTTTAATAGAGGATAGTTTACAAGTTGACCCCGAACTGAGGAAGAAGATTACGATTTACGAACCTAGAACTTCCTCCCGTGAACCCTCGCTCGATAGCCACAAAACAAATTGGTCGCCTGGTCGGGACCATTATGCTCTCTATTACTGTTTTTTTCTTTCTTTAATAATTATTATTGATTGATTTTGTAAGTCGGTCAAGAGTCTAATTTACCTTTTTGCCCATTTCTGACACAAACACTCTGGACATTTCAATCAAATGTGACATAAAAATGGTCCAATCACGAAATTCTCTTTTATTTGCCGATCCCAGTTTATGTTTCTTTTGGGATATAAACCATTCCTCATATTTATTCGGATCCATGTTGTTGTGTTTTTGTTAACCCTGCAGAAAATACTATATACACATAATACTATAAATGAACATCTATAAGTACTAGACCACTTTTTTATATGAGCGTTGAATCAAAAAATTTGGGCAATTTTGTAATTTCAACGCAGGGATGTTACCAAACGGCGACTTTGAACTAGGACCAAAACCATCGGACATGAAAGGAACGCAAGTAATAAACAAGAAGGCGATTCCTAGCTGGGAGCTTTCAGGCTTCGTCGAATACATAAAGTCCGGTCAAAAACAAGGAGACATGCTTCTCGTAGTCCCGGCCGGAAAGTTCGCAATCCGGCTAGGCAACGAGGCATCGATCAAACAAAGACTTAACGTTACAAAAGGAATGTATTACTCACTGACGTTCAGTGCCGCAAGGACATGTGCCCAAGACGAACGGCTCAACATATCGGTGGCACCTGACTCAGGCGTTATTCCTATACAGACGGTGTACAGTAGCAGTGGATGGGACCTTTACGCGTGGGCGTTCCAAGCCGAGAGTAACGTGGCAGAGATCGTGATTCATAATCCTGGTGAGGAGGAAGATCCTGCTTGTGGACCACTCATTGATGGTGTGGCAATCAAAGCTCTATACCCTCCTCGGCCCACCAATAGTAAGTATTCATTTATTATATGAATTGAGTTTGTATAATCAAATCTTTTTTCAGATATCACGCAATGTGATCCATCATGTTACAACTATATGTAGTTATGTATTAACTCGTTATCGTTAGGCCTTAGGGGTTGACATTTGACACTCCGGTTTGGTTTGTCAAAATTTCAGTTTGGTTTAGTCCAGTTTTGATATTTTCAAATTAATCATTATAAATCTATTTTTAATATATGTACTAGATACTTGTAAATAAACTTTTTGGTTTGGGTTATTTGGTAGACCTGTAAAGTATTTCTATTTCCATTATGGTTTTCAAAAAATTGGCCTGGTTGGATTTGATTTATGTGGCCACTTATAAGTATAGTCATTTTGGTGTTAGAACATATTTTAATGGATCGGTTACATGACGTGACATGTGTTAGCCAAGATTCAGAACAATAAATTAATTGATATGATTTTGCTATTATATAATAAAACAGAGAATATATTGAAGAACGGAGGATTTGAAGAAGGTCCCTACGTACTCCCAAACGCAACAACCGGCGTTCTGGTTCCTCCCTTTATAGAAGATGACCACTCTCCTTTACCCGCGTGGATGGTCGAATCACTCAAAGCCATCAAATACGTTGATGTCGAGCATTTCTCGGTCCCACAAGGCCGTCGAGCCGTGGAGCTAGTGGCAGGCAAAGAAAGCGCAATCGCTCAGGTAGCTAGGACCGTTGTGGGAAAAACTTACGTGCTTTCGTTTGCGGTTGGAGATGCTAACAATGCTTGCCAAGGATCGATGGTGGTCGAGGCATTTGCGGGAAAAGACACTCTAAAGGTACCTTATGAGTCTCGAGGCAAAGGAGGGTTCAAACGCGCTTCTCTACGGTTTGTGGCGGTTTCGACCCGCACAAGAGTTATGTTTTACAGCACATTTTACTCGATGAGAAGCGATGATTTCTCATCACTGTGTGGGCCCGTGATCGATGATGTTAAGCTCCTCAGTGCTCGTAAGCCGTAAGATGGCCATTGTTTTATTTCTAAGGTTCTTCGTATAAGCCAGTGTGGTTTTTTATATAAATATGATTTTCTTAATCTCTAATGCTTTTGAAATGAGATGAGTAATACTGAAAGGGTGTTTGTGGTGTAGGGTTTTATATAAGGCAAAAAGGTCTTGCTTATATATATTTTCTTGTATGAGAAGGCTAAAGAAATGTTGTCTGTTTTTACTAAATTGGGTTCTTTCAAGGAGATCGGGTGATTGTGAGAATAAAAATGTAATACAGATATATATGGTAGAGAGGAATGAGGATAATAATTTAACTTTAGCTTCTTGTGTACTACCAATCCGTGTTAGGATCAAGCTTTTCTAATCAGTTTCAAACTGAACTGCCTTGAAATCCATGTTAGTAGCTGAAGCAATGGCTCAAAATTTTAAAACTATAGTGAACAGTTAAAACGTAGCAAAAAGGACCAAAGGGTGTGGAAGCAAATGGTTACAGTTTTGAGCATTATTAAACGGTTTAAACGATTTAAACGATTGGTATATCGATTAACATGCGTTTTTTAACATCTGGATTTATTATATATTGCAAATTATGAGAAGTATGGCTAAGATGCTTTTATGAGATGCTTTTGACTGTTTGATAGCGCATATG